TTGCCAGTTTGACAAAAATGTCACTTTTGAATCACAAAATGTCATAGTTATTGGTTATATTTGAAAAAAATGTCACTTTTATGTCAATATGTTTTGAAAATGGAAATCTCAAAAATGTCATGTTTTTGCCAGTTTGACATTTGTGTCATATCAAGTGGCATTCTCGATGGAGGTTGTAGGGACTTGCCGAAGAGCGGCGGCTTCGTCGGAGGATGGTGGCGGCGAACTCTGCTAAGGCGGCGGAGGCAGCGGTCCGCTGAAGGACACACTGGTGCGGTACTGGAGGATGGTTGAATTGCGACATAGACCTGGAGACAGGAGGATGGCTGGGATGCGCAAGTTACGCGCAAATGTTACGGCAGTTCAACACTGGAGGCTATTTTTGCCCAAACACAATTATTTAATCCTATTTAGGGAATTTAAAACAATAGGTCCTATTTTTGCATTTACTTCATCTTTTATTCCTATTTTGGTAAATCTCTCTATTATATACACCTCACTTACCTATTAACCTTTAACCATTGTGTAACACCTATGCGGGGTTAAGAACTAACCCATAACGTGCTTTCTTTTATTGGACATATAATATTATTACTGTAAGTGTTTTGATATATCACATTTCAACATGGATTAAAACAAGAACATCCAAACACATATTACTAATCATGCCTTGTACAATTATAAAGTTGTATCGCATTCAATATTACTCATATAATACTCAACAAAGTTATGTACTCATTAGCTTATAATGATTTTTTTCTAACCCACTGGTTGTAATACTTGAGATTAAATTAAAAGGATTAATATTATTACTCATACTAACAAGGTACATCTCTTTTAATGGAACTTATTAACCGAGAACCCCAAGTTAAGCGTGCTTGTATGTGATAGTCTTAGGATAGGTGAACCCCTGAGAAGTATCTCAGGACGCGCACAAGTGAGGACATAGTGTACGGGGCGTTCAAAAGTAACTATCTCGGGTCCTGTGGGGCGGTGTGTTACAGGTGGTATCAGAGCAACCTTGCGATAGTGTGCAAGTCCATTAGATATCGGGCAGACACTTAGCATGGGGGGTCCTAAGATATAATTAGATTGGCTTATGGGCGGATCGAGAACGTTGTGATTCTTAAGTGGAGGTGATTGTAATACTTGGAATTAAAATAAATTAAATGGATTTATAGTACTATTCAAACCAACAAGGTGCATCTTCTTTTTTGGGGGTGACATGGAGCGCAGTAAAAGGTTCGCGTTGGTTTGTGAGAACAACACTAAATGTCTGGATGGCATTCAGGAGTGACCACCTCAGACTCTGCGGCGCGTGGTGTTACATTAGCTAACAATTTCTTGGGGAGCGAGACCCCTCCAGCCCCTCCCTTTCTCCACCCCGGATGGCCCTTAGTGTGTTATACTCTCAAAGACAAAATGAACAAGAATTATTGGACATCAACCTTGATAAGCTAAAAAAAATCAATCATCTCAAAGTCTAATCGCTTAACAAGTGCCAAAACATTCACTTGAAAATCAAATTTCGAAAATTCTCGATAAAGCGGGACATAAGAGCCATACCGTCCACATGTCTTTATTTCAACTCGAGAATATCGATCTTGTAAGTTGCTGTAATTTTTGCAGTATTAGCCATGACCGGCGTCGATTGAGGCTGCTTCCAATCACTTTCCTCAAAAATCACATGTAACTACTGCCGATTGGGTCCAAAAAGTTGACCTGCACCGGTTGGTCCCAAGTCACAATTACACAATTTTGAGAACTTTTCGGTTCGATCGACGCTTAACCCGCAAGGTCCTAGTTGTGATCCCTTTGGCATGTGACTTTATTTTCTTCACTTTTTATCACATTTCACGTTTCCGACACATCTTGAGCTTTTACCCCTTTTCCTCTCTTTTTCCACTATAGATTACTATAATTGCTTTTGTTAAGCATAAGTAATTATTGTGCCTATTAGAGATGAACAACAACAGACCTGGTGGGCATAGACAATCAAAATGTAAAAGATAAATCACAATTTATTGGTTTAGAACTTTTATCAAACACCTAGTGGGCATAGAAGCTCATCCCTAGCCTTAGCTAAGAACTTAGCTCCTTGAGCTCATACTAATTACAAAAGTGTAACTAAGAACAATGAAATACAATAAAATACAAGAAATAATACCTAGAACCAATTGTAGAGGAGAGAAATGGCTTCTTCTCCAACACTTCAAGAGAATGCAAAAAGAAAATATCAAAACTGAAATTTAAGCTTCAAGGATGGATTGATGATCTTGTTTGATAAATTGGGGGGCTTTATATAGGCTAAAGATTGACATCTTTTAGTCTATTCAAGCCCAACAATTACGTATGGACGAAATATTTGCTCAGATCATAAGGAAAGTGGGTTTTTCCCATCAAGATATTGTCGCACGTCTCCCTGTTTTGTGTAGAATCAGGATTAACCGGCGCCAGTTTTACTTCGGCGCAGAGTTTGTACTGAAAAAAAACATCATAACCGGCGTCGGTTATAGGGGTGGACTGGCGCCGGTTAGTCCTCGGCAAACTGTTATAATTCCCAAATTAAATACACCCGACGCCGGTTATAGGGCAGGACCGGCGCCGGTTTCCCCCCTGCATTGCAATACTTCATTTTTCGCTCTGTTTTACGCCCGTAGTTGACCCCGAAGTGTCGGTTCTCAGTCCCTTTTGACGGTTGACTCCCGTTTTTTCATCTTTGACGCCTTTATGCGATTTTGCTCAAATTGAGATTTTTACCTGTTTCGTCTTTGAATATTTGTACAGATAATCATAATTACCTATATAAAATATAGGTAACTATTTGTGCTTATCACTAGCCACTTGCCCCATGAAAATTTACACGCACCTCGACAAGCATCGAGCGTAAGTTCCCACATATAGATACAAGCAGGTCTCTCGGGTGTCCTAAAGAATAGATCCACAATCCAACTCAACTACACACTCGGTGCACAACACTCCTCACCATCGACCACCGACCACCAATGCGCGCAACCAGCCTCACGGCTAGAAACTCACATCCACCAATATTGTTAAATGCCCATCGGCTCCATCTTTAAGCTATCAAACATCAAATATCATCAAAGGGCTCCCCCGCCTCGGTACCATACTTGATGGTCTCAAGCCAATGACCTTCAACAAAGGATTCCCCCATAGGTTTACCTTAGTCAGGGTTTGCCTGAGAGATTGAATCTTCAGTATGGACTCAGGAATGTACCTTTGGTCCTCGGCATAACTAATCATCTACTCGCACAACCAATGTTACTCTCGTCTTGAAATAATAGGGGACTGCACCTCGGCCTCACATGAGGATACAAACAAAGCGAAAATGTTCAAAAAAACTCAATATATTGTACTCCTTGTGTCTCGCATTTCTCGATAAAATAGTCGGAGACTCCTAATCGAGTATATGATCCCACATACTCATGGACATCTGCAACAGGCCTATAGCTATATGGGCATAACCCTCGTATGGGCCCTTCGACAGTGGAGGGCGCATCCACAAGGACGCCTTGACAAGTCAGATGTACGACTTCCAGAACAGTGTCGGGCCAACCCCTCTTCTTGCACACCTAGGTTGGACCAGGGACTTCACAGAAGAACATAACAAAGCTAGCAGTATAATCCTCCAACGAAGATGAGGGGTACCAAGCACCTAGTCTGCCACACAACCGTATCCACCAACGTCATGCGTCGAGTTTTCATACATTGTAGGGCTTTGCCTATAAATTAGCTCACACGTGTACATGAAATTAATGCATCTAACATTTATAACTAATACAAATAGCCCTCATTGGGAAGATGTAACAGTTCTAATTTCATTTATTACAAGACATCTTTCTACTATTTAGTTTTACATACTCTCTAAAAACCGCACATGGCATTCCGATATAGCCATAAAACACTATATTTTTATTCCATAAATAAAAGTAATTACTTAGAAGTACAATCATCTTTAATTTGTCACCCTTTGACTTATGAGTTACTCCCTCTGTCCCACTACAATGTCTCATTTTTTCTTTTTCGTTCACCCCACTAAATGTGTCTCATATCATATTTGATAATACTTGTGTGATTCTAATTCATTTTTACTTTATTCTCACTTTATAATTCATTACCAATCATATAATTCTATTTTTCTAAAAAAAAGCATTATTCTCCTTTGTCCCAATAAGAAAAAGGGAGTACTATGACTGTATGAGTTATGACCTATAAAGCACAAATACTTCACTGGGGTGCCGTATCGACGTATCGGAAACATTCCCGTATCCGATACTCTAGAATACTCGTATCGTACGTTCCCGTGGCATATATGTAATTTTTAAAAGTTTCCACTTTTTGAAATTATTTCAAAATTTCGGATACTCGTATCCTGACGGATATCCGTATCAAAAAGCTAAAAATAATTTTTACCTTGGTTTTATGTGGTACACAACTAATGAGCTTATTCCTAAATCACTCATTCTCTTATCCCTAATTCTAATTATCCCAGTAAATTAAAAACTCCAACGGAAATATGTATTAAAAATTTTAAAATATTGTTTTCTATCTTCATTATTTCGAGAAATTTGTGTGCTTGCACTTTTAATTTCAAAACTGTAGTTGTTTGACTTATTTGTCATTTTAAATTAACGACTTATTGACTATGTTTATATTTCGAGGTGCATTAGTGTATATGAGATAAAATATGAAATTATTTTTAAGTATCTTGAAAATGTAAAATGTTTCAATACCATGAATGAGTAGACGAAAGAGGGTAATAATTTTTTCAAAAAGAATTCATTTTTTAATATTTATAAATACACCATTGTAACTTTTAATATTTATAAATACACCTCCATCACTTTTAATATTTATAAATATGGCCTCGTATGCGTATCCTACATTTTTTGTTTTGTTGTATCCCGTTTCCGCGTTTCCACGTTTCCGCGTACCCGTACATGTGCTATATAGGTTATGACAATTAACGACGGCGTTTTAGTTTTGTATGCTGTTTCTCATCGGATCCCATGGTCCATTATTGTGCCAAATCTTCGAAAGGATACTCTCTCATATCTCTCTCCGACACCCTGATCCAATCTAGTTGTTTTCCGTTAGGGGGAGAAACCCTAATTTCATTTCTGTTAGAAGCTCCAGACGCTATGAACCCTTGCGTTTTCGGCGTTCCATAGCCGAAGTCCCATCCTTGGTGCGGGTTAGAATCAAACTCTCGAACTTGATGAACAACATCCTTAACCCTTGTTTGCATCCATTCAGTTTTCTTATGTCCAATTGTAAGTTAATTCTCAAAGATTGTTACTTTACTGGTATTTGGTTTCTGAAATCTTACTTTTCGGGTAATAAGAGCTATTCTATTCCGCAGATGGACTTTTGAAGTGTTGTAGTATGTGGGAGCACGGAGTAGGGCTTGAACAGCATATTAAGAACATTCATCTGACGTAGGTTACACGTGATGGGTGATAATGTTTTAGATGATATGATAATGGACCTTGATTTGAACCAAGAACCCTCAGACCCAGCGCCCCCTGATTCAGGTCTGGGTTTCAGGTCTTTCTTGAGTGATTTAGAGAGTGCCCATAGTCGGATCGAGGAGAGAATCCGACATCTTGAAGCTGTCACGGCTCGAGCTTGGGAACGCCATAGGTGGCGCCTCACACAGAATTTTCCAGAAACTGATACTTTGGATGGAGAAAATGTCATTGGTGTTGAGGCAAGTGAGGGTGTTGTGGTGGGTATGAATTCTGGTAGTGGGAGAGGCTGCAAGAGGGACAGCAGCCATTTGGTGGCAAAAGCATTGGCTTTGGATTCTGAGGTGAAGAAGGGTGACAAGGATGGTGGGACCTTTTTCGATTGCAATATATGCTTAAGCATGGCACGGGAGCCTGTTTTGACCTGTTGCGGTCACTTGTACTGTTGGGCATGCTTTTTCCAGTTGCCATATGTTGATTCTATGGTCAAGGAGTGTCCTGTTTGCAATGGAGAGGTTGCAGATGGTAAGGTCATTCCTATTTATTGTAATGGAAGCAGTAACTGTGGGATGGAAATGGAAGCTGGTACGAAAATACCGCCAAGGCCAAAAGCACGTCGAGTTGAAAGTGTTAGGCAGCAGCATCTGACCCGCGGTTTATCTCATATTCCGGTGGCTGAAGCACTTAGGCGAATCAGGGCTAGTATTGGAATTGGAATGCCTGAGCACCCACACCCGCATCCACAGCCGCATCCACACCCGCACCCGTTCCCACACCCACACGCACCAGAGCCAATTGGCATTAATGTGAATGTGACTACAACTTCTCAGGAGTTTCAAACTGCAGGTGAAAGCCGTCAAGTGCGCTCCCATGAGTTTTCAAGGGTTTTATCGGAAAGTGCCGCTTCTCTGTCTTCAGAATTAGATAATGCGCAGCGGATATTTGAGGACCTTGCTGCGTCCATTTCTGACCGCTTGTTACATAGGGACAGAGCTCAGGATTCATCAACTGCAGGTGATCCAGCCAATGACTCATTTGGAAGAGAAAATAGTGTTGCGCAATTGGAGCATCAGATTTTGGATGCGGAAACTGAGATAAGTTCGCCTGCATCTGTTCCTTCCACTTCTCATGGAAATGAAGACTCTGATGCTTTTGTGCAACTGGGAACCCTGATCCCCCCCACTACAAGTCTGTCCTTTCCTCGTTCTGCTTCATCGTACAGGAGACGATTTACCCCGTTGAGGTTTCCAGATGATGTTGCCCGTGAAACTAGGAGAAGAAGATTTAACTAGTGACTTGGGACAACTAAGGTAAACTTTTATATTTCTCATTTTGTCCTTGTACAACCATGTTAATCAATCTCTCAAAACAGATTTTCTGGTTTTAAGAAAATCTTGGATTTGCTCAATTTCAGTGGTGTGTATGCAGAACACATGCAGCCACTGTCTGATTTGGTAATTTGACAGTATGGAGGAATTTGCGGTAAATGGTTAACGGTTTCTGCAACAAGTGTTAGCCACACAAAATGCAAGAGCAGTAGGCTATTTGTACCACTAGGTATTACAGAGTAGTAGGCTAAATGGTAACAGCTCTTGCTGGATTTACATGTTGCGGTGTTGTTGTTGAATGCTATGATCATTGTTCCCAAGAATCATTAAAATGAAAACTTTCATCATCTTAGGGTCTTTTTGGAACTCACAAACTGCTAAACAAAGAAAATTTGGAGGGGATTATATGAGAAATTTGCAAGGAAAGAAGTGTTGAGGAAAACTAAGTAATGGTGCGAAGGTGTTTTTGTTTTTTTGAAAACATTTGATTGGTTCATTTTATGTGTCTTTTTCTTTTACTAAAGAAGGAAAGTGAGAAGAAATTTATTGGACAAATGGAATAATAAGATAATGTTCATCATCATCATCACCCCAGTGCCATAGAGGCTCCCGCCTACGGTAGGGTAATGGGGGCCAGATGTACGCAATCTTATCCCTTTATTAAAGCACAGAGAGACCGTTTCCGGATGCCCATAGTGAAAATCAAATTGCATGGACGACTGCTGCTTCATAACAAAGAAGCGCACACAGTTTAGTGAAGCATTTTGCTTTATTCCATCATACTCCCAAGCTAAAAATAGTGAGTCTTTGGCTCCTTTGCAAATGATGGAACAAAATGTCAATGTTTATTTCTGAAGTTATAATAGGATAATGTTATGAAACAAAATGTCAATGTTTATTTCTGAAGTTATATTAGGATTACTAGTACTGCAGTACAACATATTTAACTCACAAGGATTAAATTATTTCAGAATGGAATGACATGCTGCTTTCCCTTGTTCTCGGCTAAGGTGTTGTGAGGTATGATTGGTTGGCTTCCTAACACCCGGTTGCCCCTATCCTCGGTGTGGATGCCTCCCGCTAGGCCTCCAGTCGAGGGTTGTTGAAGAGGTTGCCTGAGCTTTTGGGGCATGTGTATGATTAAATATTTTGTATAATAATTTAACTGGTCATGCAGTTATTAAGTATCACTCTATGCAGCCAATTTGTGCAATCAGAAACTAATAAGGCTATGTTTACTAATGGTTACGCTACTAAAAAGTGATTTGTTAAGAGATTTTTGGAAAATGATTTATAGTAAAAGTCGAAAGCTTTTGCAAATAGAGGTGATTATAGGAAAAAAGGTAAAGTTAGTGTGTTTGGTAAAAAATGTTTTTTACTGTAGTATTTTATTAAAGTGCTAAATTACCCCTTTCACTTAAAGGGTTAAAAGTACACCATTCCATATATGTTTCACCATCTCTAATGATGAGAAATGAAAGAATCCATTTTCAGCGTGGGGCACTTCCTTAGTTCCTTTCATCACCGAAAGTTTGCCGGCTCCAGTCATTACCTTTGTCCTTCGTACTTCGTAGCATCTATTCTCCTTCTTTGGAAGCCATCATTTTGTAACAGCTTTTGCAATTCCGTGCGAGGTAAGCTCACCTTGTCGCCAACTAGCTCTCCTTTCATGTATGGGAGGTCTAGGATTCAATACTCAATAAAGTGAGTTTAATCTCAATTTACCCCAAGTCCCCTAGTCTCATTCTCCTTGACCTCTGACCCCCTTTGGGTAAGGTGTGCCCATTTTGGAATAGTTGTAGATTGTCTTGTTACATATTTCGTGGTCAAATTACCAAATTGATTTAAAAAAAGGTTTACCAAATTGGTATAAAAAAACTTTGAAGAATTGAGCAGATATTATATAGAATTGATATGAAGCAGAATCTGGGCTTGGAACAAGAGGGGAAGAAGCCTCCGTGGTTTACCGAAGGTGGGACGGGCTTGAGCCCACCTTCCAATTGTTGTGAACAGAAAAAATAAAATCAATGGGGTAAATCGTTGCCCGATAATCAACGGTAAAAATACTGTTGCCCAAAGCCAAAAGGCTAAAACCAATTTTATTCCAAGATGAGTCAGAATGAATCCTAACAAGGAGTTTAAATACCCATCTACTAACTCTTAAACTAGGAAACAAATTCCTAGAGATCCTAATCAACTTCAACAAGGAAATAGAATAATAAAGATCCTAATCAACTTCAAATAGGAAAGAAATAATAGAAAACCTAATTAACTCCTAATAGGAAACACATATTAGAAATCCTAATTAACTCCAAAAGGAAACAAATCAGGAAAAATAAAAAGAATGAATATTAATTAAAACAATGTAATTTGTGCTCCAATCGTAATCTAAAACAATGTGTTATTTCTGCGTGAAACGGAACACCCTAGTAATGGACTCGGGTCAGGCCGCCCGGCTCGGAACCGGCCTGGGACTGGTACTGTTTGGGCCTGGCCCGGTGGCCCGCCAGAGCCCGGTTTGGGTAGGCCCGGCCCGGAGGTTATGTTGGGCGGGCTCGGGTCACCGAAATATGGAACCGGCCCGGCCCGGCCCGGTTCAGGTTTTTTTAATTTTTTTTTGTTTTTTCAATTTTTTTATTTTCCCGGGTTGGGCTGGGTGTTTTGGGCCATTTGGGGTGGTTTGGGGGGGGGGGGGGGGGGGTCGGGGGTTAATTAGAAAAAAAAAATGGAACTGGCCCGAGGCCTGGACCCGGACCCGGTGGATACCCAGGCCGGTTCCGGACCTAACCCCAAACACCAAAAAGCCCGCCGGGCCTAGGCCCGACCCAAGCACGGTGCAACACTAGGAACACCCATTGGGTTTGTTAGAGGCAATTTTGGTCTATAATCTAAATGCAAGGAAACATGACATTTGAAATTACAAAACTACAATTCCAACCTTCCTGATTTTGGCGTGGTCATGGACCCGAGCCGGGCCCGGCCGGGCTTTTTTTTGGGAAGGAAGGCCTGGGACCAGCCCGGGTAGCCACCGGGTCCGGTCCGGGTCCGGGTCGGGCCTCTGGTTTGGTCATTTTTTTTTTTGCTTTTTTTTGGGAAGGAAGGCCTGGTGAATTAGACTCTTCATATCAGTTTCTCTATTCAGACTTGGATAAGGGACAGAGCCTCCGACAGCTGATATACCATTAATGGCAATGTGGCCACCTCTAGGAATCCTATTTTGATGCGATGGAGGAAGATCGTCATCTGTACCTGCAGTGAAGAAATTAAAAGTAAGCGAAGCATGCATGTAAATCATGTAATCCCTCATATACCTTATCACACTTCATTATTTAGTACTTATGTTTAAGCTAAATGTACATAAGTATACTGTATTATTAGTAATGCTGTAATGGGCTAATGGCATCCACAATGGAAAAAAATTGAACTTTTGCATGACTACCAGAAAAGTCACACACAATAAACATCAGCTTCCAGCATAAGCAAATAGACCACTCCATAAAAGAGTAAAACAAGTTCAATCCTATTTCAAATTTTCAATATTAAGCTACAGCTTTTTTAGAACGAATGAAAATTAGAATTTGAGAGATTATAACAGCACCAAAGTATGAACAATTAAATAAATACACAAGAATTATAAATGCATAGAATTAAAGCTTAATCTTCCCATTGTTGTGATTTGTGGGAAGGTGACAAGGCTTTAACCTAGATTTATGGACATTTTCTGTAGGCTTTGTAAAGGCAATCCGATATACATTACAGCATTGCATGTAGAACTATAATACCTACTGAATATTGCATGTGAGAGAGAAACACTAAAATTTTACTCTAGGCTTTCTGTTTCCAATAGATAGAAGCTCAAAAATCGGGAAAAAATCAATCAATCAATCAAGTATAAATGAATTATACTTGATTACAAGGGTCCCCAGGATGAAAATAAGGGTCCCTACTCCCTAGGATGAAAATAACGTTATAGACAGCATTACAGAAGTACTCCCTCCGTAACATTCATATCTTCCCACTTTCCTTTTTTGGATGTAACATTCATATCTTCTCATTTCTAAATCTTCCCATCATACCCTCAATAATTTTAAAAATAATACACTATTACACCTACTTTTTTGGATTTATCCTTCATTCTATCACGTTATTTCACTATCTTCCCATCATACCCTCAATAATTTATATCTCCTTTCACTATTCTTAATCTACCTACTTTTCAAATGGGAACATATATATGTTACGGAGGGAGTAGTAAATACTACGGAGTATATACAATGCACAGATCAAACTTTAAGAGCCTATTGAAACGGGATAAATTGTGCACTTATGTAGGATCAAGTCAGCCCATCCTCAAATATCTAAAGTAGACAGTAATGAACATAAAGGGGCTCAGGCTAGAGCACCTTAAAAGATTTGCATTTTGGCTATTCCAGCGTACTTCCTTAGCAGAGCTTCTTTAGCAAATGGACAAATTTAAATGAAAAATATGAAAACAAAAAAAACATTGTACGTCAAACCAACCTCAATGAAGGAGAAACGGACAAAAGTAACAATGGAGTATGAATAAAGCGTTTTCGACAAAAAAAAACTCGCGAACTGAAGACCTAACCAGTTCATCGAACTAAACACAATCTTATCAAGCGAATGCTAATTCGAAAATCCCATTGATCAGTAATAAACTGAATCCCCAATCTTTGACTCACCACTGCTATCGTACGGCTCGTATTCCATATACAACTTGGGACACAACTATGAAGAATTTGCGAGCAACTCAAGAATTACAACAGAACTCTTATGATTCCTTCTCGACATTCGAGAACAATCCAACAAACATTGAATCGATGCTACATGCGTGATATGAGAGAGAGGATTGAGCGATTGAAGGTATAAACGGACTGCGAATCGATTCAGAGGTTCGGCAATACCGAAAGGTCGACGAGCAAAGTATGAATCTGGAAAAGCGGACGTGAAAAGAATTCTAATTTTTTTGGTTAATCGAAGCGTTTGACATCCGCGTTAACGTTTGCTGTTTTTTTTGTTCGAATCCGAGTGTCGAGTTGACCCGATTTAGGTCTGACCCACGTGCAGACAAATTGATGGTTTAATTTGGTCTTTAAATTTTGGGACTCCAATCCCAGCTTGGAATATCATTTTAAGGTCAACATGATCTAACCATTTTGAGACAAACTCCTGGACAAAAACATCGATCAATATACGATTTACTGCGCTCCATATGAAGATTGAAGAACATCACTTAACTCTATAAAGAATGAATTGAATGATATTATACGTACTCAGTACTGAATCTGCTATACAATGATCATATATTCTCTTACTTTCCTCATTGAAGGGTACATACAATATACAAAGAATAATAATATAATGAAAAAATGAAGCAATTTCAGGCGTGTCGTTGCAAGAAATATCTCTGCCGGATCTCCAAACGCATACCAAAAAGCAGTGCACCCCAAGACCACCAGCTTACATTTATAGACTTTCATTCCAGAGGGAGGTGCATCTCCTGATGACTAATCAGGTTGTTCTTTCTTTGCAATCCTATACCAAGATGAGGACAAGGGATGAAGTTGAACAAGATTTCTACACGGAGGGGTGACTTTTGCACATGCAGTCTGGAACAGGATATTTTGTGATGTCCCTACCAGATTTCCTGAGTTCAGGACGACCGAACGAATCACGGTGCAAGTCGAGTATAATCTTGTCAAACTCTGTTGCTTCTGAAAGTGAAGCATTACTCATGAAGTGTGGGAGAATCTGTCGTTTGTTCGGTGTGATGGTTTTTTTGTGCCCGGCATAAGCCCTGTGTCCCTGGATGGCATGGCCCATGTTCCCACCATGAGATGGCATGAAGACGTCGCTGTTCTCCGAAACAATATAGTCGATGCCAGCCATAACCGATGCTCTCTTTTTGAATGGCTCGAGTTCCCCGGGCAGTGCAAGGTCTTCCTTATTGTAGAAATGCGGGAACTCTTTGGTCAACGGCTCTAGTGCCTCTTTCCCGCCCAACGGCATTCCTCCTGCCCAATAGATCATCACGCTCTTTGGAGCTCCCAAAGCTTTGAGCAACCTAAATACAAAGCAAAACATGTCAATCATTGAAGTAAAATGAATCATTTGGAGGTTTTTACTACAATATTACTAGAATAAAAAAGTTTGGACTACAAAAATATCACCACGGCAAGGGCAGTGTGAAATTGAAAATCAGCATGGCTATAATAGTCACTGCGAAAGTCGACTACGATTTTTATCCAATCTATTTCTTTTAGACAAATATGTGTCATTTCAATTGTCCATA